CGACCCCAACAGGGGTTGTCCCAAATTCCAAATTTGGGACCATGCCCCACGTCGTCTTCCAGGCGTCTCGCCGGCAGCCGCAACAACTACCGCAGTCATGCCACGGCTCCCAGCTTTCATTCAAGCCATCACATCGCCTCGACCGGCACGTGGTTGCCGAGATACACCCTCGCAAGGGGGCACGGCGACCCCAACAGGGGTTGTCCCAAATTCCAAATTTGGGACCATGCCCCACGTCGTCTTCCAGGCGTCTCGCCGGCAGCCGCAACAACTACCGCAGTCATGCCACGGCTCCCAGCTTTCATTCAAGCCATCACATCGCCTCGACCGGCACGTGGTTGCCGAGATACACCCTCGCAAGGGGGCACGGCGAACCGAAGAGGGGTTGTCCCAGCGTAGGACTTTCAATGTCAGAGCTCGCTGCGCACAATGCGTCGACGTCTGCGAGATGTTGGGTTGGGTTAGGCAGGGGTCGTATCTTTTTAGTTTCGTCGCTGAATTTTTAGTTCCCGTATATAGTTTCGTCGCTGTATCGCCTGTCGACTCCCCTGGCGACCGCACAGTTCACGACAGCACTTGAGAAACAACTGCCAGTGCCGAACGTATATGTAGTTTCCGGTTAGCGTTAGTTTAACTGCTGTTGTGGTAGTTTTGGTGAGGTCTCACGTTCTATCTCCCCCAGGCGTTTATACCTTTTCCGTCTCACCCCGCCCTAAACTTAGACTCAAACTCTGTCTATGCCCAACACTTGGCCCCGCACACGGCGACGTGAAACCTCCCACAAGACATTTGGATATGAATGGAACACAAGACGCAGACGATGGCACAACCCTAAGGGGGACCACATGACCGCCCACAAGACGATNACACTGGGCGAGGTAAGCCGAAGTTCATCGTCGCCATCCGCACACCGGCCGCGAGCGTACTCAGGTCTACGAGGCGTTTCCACTCGCCGATTGTCTATCCCCCCTCGCTCTCCTCCTACGTCCAGACCCAGGCCCGTACGAATC